CCACCACCACCACAACCACTACCACCACCACCACCACCACCACCACTACCACCACCACCACCACCACCACCACCACCTTTCCCTGACTTCCCCATTATGTTTCGAAAGGCAGCTCTTTGACCGACCGCTTCTTCCTTCCGGAAAGCGGTATCTTTGTGGATTTTTAATAAATGAAGGTAAGAATGAAAAAAGAAAATCACATTGGCTGTCCGATATTAACTTGAGTAGTATATCTGCACCCTACTTATGAGGTCAATGGTTTGCTCTGCTTTGAGACCTAACCAGATCAAAACAGCCGTACTTTTGTGTTATCTACTTACGTTTTGCTTCCTGCACCACGAAAATCATTATGAATTCAATTTTCTTTTAAATGGTTCCTTGATTTTGTATCGCTCCATGCAATCAGTTAGGACTAAGATAGATTAACTGAATCGACGGGATGCTTTACTATAGATAGTTAACAATAAGATGGTAAATAAATTCAGCCTCATTTTGAAATGAAGCCAGCCAAAAATAGAATAGTTGCGCTGCCGTATGTAGACACGTTTTCCGTGGCTCAAAAAAGTTAGCAAGTATCAACTACCTCGACCGTTGAAAATATTAGGAATGTATAATGGTGTATAGCCTGCTGTTTGCTTCACCTCTATTTATTAGTAAATGAATAATCGAAAAGGAGCGAGCTTGCAGATTTATCAATTTTTCCAATGTTCCACTGCTCTGAATAAAAACAAACACGTACTTCAATTGGTAGGGGTAAAAATCAACATATGGTGAAAGCAAACCTTGTATTACACCCCGCACAGTGTTTTTGAATTCAGTACATGGCAAATGATGCCCAGTATTACGAAATCAGTATATAACTGATCCAACGTTTAAAATGTCCCACGAAGCACGTAGTGAGAACACAAATTGGCAAACAATCTCGTTTTCAGTGTGTCTTAATCATGTCACAACAACACAATATATATAATTAGTAACATATAAGGATTTAAAAGGGAAAAGAGAAAGTAATTAAAGTATTCAACAGTTTATCATAATTGGTCCCCAATTATCATTTGCTTTGATGTTTCATGACAGATCACTTGTCGGCAATCTGATCATCGGAGATTGAGTGCTTACGCAAATTATTTTTGAGCACACAGAGAGGGTTGTGAAGACGGATACAAACTGCCCCTCTGTGGCTAGGATGCGAAACCGCACATGTCTAGACCGTCCCGTTTTAACTCCACACACGGGTCCGAACGCGTCGGTTATGTTTACGATGTTATTAGTGTCGTGCAGGTGCGACACGACTGCATTTGTCATTGAAATAGTGTGATGCTCACGGCTGCGCTCGAACAGACACCCGGTCGTGCGGTCAACATACTTTACTCCATAGGATCAAGTGAAACAGTACATACAGAAAGAGGCAGCGGAATCGAGCACCGTATTCCTCACCCGTAGATACACCAACTGGATAGATATGAATGGAGTTTGGAGCTTAGTTGCGTAGATCGTGCAAGCATTCAAGCTTCCATGACCGGATTGCCGACAAGCGACTCGACATGAAACAATGGAGAAACTGATAATTGTAGATGCATTAGGATACAAATTATTGACTACTTTTCCTTTTCCTTTGTAAATCCTTATCTGTCACTATAGTCATATATATTGTGTTGTAATGGTGTGATTAGGACACACTGAAAACGAGCTTGTTTGCCATTTTATGTTAGCATATTACTACTGGTCCTTGGCTTTCAATGTATTAGTCAATTGTTTTCCGACATTTCTCGTTTCAATCAACAGCGCATTGACATCGCAGCCGCGCTGTTGACACTCACAGACGATCGCTCACTGCATATAAACTATCTCGGACCGTTTCTGATCTCCTCGACCGCCATGCTTGGCGCGCGGGTTGCGTCGGACAATAGTCTGTTTAAAATGTTCAAACCGTTTAAACCCTCTGTGTGGATTATGATTGCCGCGTCTGTAATTGTGAGCGGTCTGGGCCTGTTCGCGATCAATCGGCTGAGTCCGTTCTCCGCGTGGAATCTCGGCCTGCCCGGTGCTATTGCCGATGAGGTAGCAGTGCAGGAAAATGTGTGGTCCACTATCGGCAGCTTTTTGCTTCAAGGTGAGCGATGTCTGATCCCAGTTCCGCGAATGCGCGGTGCACATTGTGCGTGTATATCTGTGACCTATTTCAGTCACATGTGAAAGACCAAAGAATGAAAATAATTATAATATGAAAGCCAGAATCAGAACTTATCATAAAATTCTTAGGACAACTTGCGTACCCGAAACTTAACATTTTTTAATCCTACCAATTTGATTAAATGACTATCACGTTATGAGAAAATTAACGTTTCCAGTTGTTCATGTGTTTAACAAATAAACCGGGGGACATTTTTGATCTCCCTCGTCAGTTTATATCATTCACACAGGCTTCAGCTGAACTATACTAATAGAGTTAGATAGGTGATCTGTGCATTGTATATCTCGCTGACAGAGGAGAAAGTTCAGTTCACCTTTTCCAATCAATTGATCTTTGAAATTACTCAATCAATGCTACTAATGTGACTGCGCCTTCGGAGTTTCTTTAGTATTCTACAGTTGTTTGCAAGTTACCCAGCTGGATGGGATATCTGAGCTTTTGGTACAGTATATCGACTTGTTTTCCTATGAGTGATATGCACGCTATCATTGCATTTTTCTATGCATTCTTTGGTGTTGGTTAGCTCCACTGTGGCCTGGCTCACTTATCCAATTTTCTTATTCGAGCCTTAAGTTGTTCACCACTTCAAGTTATGAAATCAAATTATACAATGTAACGTCAACCGCTCGTGCCCAAAGACAAATCCAGAAACAACATATTGCTATCCTAAATTTGTGGGTTGAACGGAATCATTGATCCCATGCGCTATCATTTTCTATCTATTTATCCTCTTGTTCTCTATATGACCACAATTCAGCCATCTTCGTTTTGCAGCTCTACAATCCTTGAGTTATGAGAATCATTGTTCTGTTATTCATTCTCCACCAAAAGCAATCTGTACGCTTCCATCGGCAGCCACCGCTCTTCACCATCCAATAATGTGGCATTTTGGGGGAAGCAGAATGCAATTTTCCTGGAAACTGACCGGATTTGCGGTTCATTCAATGTCATGTCTTTCATTCATCGTTTATTCAATTCTGACTATCACACACATTCTTCCGTCTCCGTTTTCCCGCACCAACCCCGTGTCCAGGCAGTGAGATTTTCCCTCTGGCCCTGTCCTCACGTGCCTTGGTCTTGCTTTTCTGGTCCGTAGTTGTCGTCGTACACGCAACCTGGCAGGCCGATTTGACCGCTTACATGAGCCGTGCCTATGTGCAATCCTCAATCCGGTCTATGAGAGAGCTTGCGTACAGTTACGAATATCAGCCGATTGCGGTCTCCGGTTCCAGTATATATGGATCTTTTCAAGTGAGTTAACTTTGCCTTGTACACGGATAGGTCGGGTCAGTGTCCGTTATTTGCGTGGAGCAAAGAACACGTCCATACAATGAGCGGCGAGCATGCTTTTTCCAATTATATATACATATATGTGTACATAGTGAAGCAAAGTTGTTTACTGCTGGTTCTTCAGACTGAATGAGACTACTCTTCTGAAGAGCTCATTTGTACTTTCATTTTTTGTTTCCCGTCTGACTATTTAACTCGGGGGCGTTTTTTTCTTCAGTTTTTCTCTCCCCGGCCCTCTTTCCTCGTCTATAAGTATCACCAACCTCAATCTTAAGAAATAATTATCTTGTTTTTGTCTCTAATGTCCCTTCCTGATTACATAACTTGCTATGCATGACCTACAGTTTCTATCGTATATTACGTAACTTCATCCCGCTCTCTCTCTCGTCTTAGCTCACAACCTTCATTTAATCTGCTTATCTCTCGGAAGTTTGTCTATTTGACCTTCGTGTTCTCACTCCCACCCACGACTATCACTGTAGCCTTGTCATATTCTTTTGGTCTGTTTGCTAGCCTCTGTCATCGTTACTAACTGAGCTCTAATCGGCCAATCAGACATCTGTATCATGATCACCTTATATAATATGTAAATGCCTGATGCGATATATCGATATCGCGAATACCGTTTTCTAAAAGCAACAAACAATGTCAATCATACTGCTCCTGAAAGTTCGTTACCGGTAGACCAGAATGAAACTATGTAAGTGTGCTATATAACGACTTCATACTGCTTTGAAGTACGAAACGTTTGTGTAAATTATGATTAGGACAAATCAATAATTTCACGTGGTTTTCAGTTATTGATGTAGACGCTTACACTGCAAATTATATTCAATATAAGTCACCGGATAATGAAGTATGTGGACGATTCCGGTTCAAGAAAACCGTTGAAACGCACATCAAAAATCTATCCGGATGATCGTTAAACCAAATTTCATTTGCAAAAGCTACAATTGAAGAGGTGAAAACACTTGTTTGACCAATGATGTCAGACATTTCACGAGCAATCTCGTGAGAGTGAAAAGTATTTGCAACTCAAGCTATCACAAATATGATCTGACGAAAGGGTGGGGGGGTTTCTCGTATATTCGAAATGGGCCGTGGTGAAGGTGGAATTGTGTTAGTGTGAACGTGGATGCAAGACCTGCTCTGCTCGATACGCACCTGAGTACTAAATGCATTTGATTACTGATAACTTACTGGTTGTGTGTGATCGTTTTTGCAGCACGAATTTCTGCTTATTTCTTCTGGGGACAGAAGAACACCAAATTTGGAGATCGATTTTTTTACCCCTATGAAATGTGTTTGAACTTGACGACATTCCTAACAGAAGCATAGTTGAGACTAGCATATTTCTATTTTCATTCAATCAAAAATCCAAATCATTAATGAGCAATTCACAAACGATACAAACAGCTGAGAATGGAGACAGGACACTCAATGATAAAACAAGAATAAATCCATTTTCTTCTCAGTGTATATTCTGTCGTTTCCCTTTGTGGACGGAAATGTTTAGCTTTACTTTTTTAGACTTTGGAATTACACAAAAAAACTGTTCAACCCATCTTGAGTTTTGAAATCCGCATATTTGTGTGGGGCGCGTTCATACTGAAACAAAATCCCTGTAACAAAGAGATGTTGATTTGATCAGTTAACCCGTTGTCCGGAAGAAAGCCTTGGCTGATTTGCGACCGTATTTTGTCGTTGTATGCATGAAGAATACACTTGATGTGAGCCGCCAAGTTCCTCGGTTCGGTTTTCACATCACCCATTTTGTACAAATGAAAGATTGTTCGGCACGAGCCTCTCGTTTTGTGTACTACTTCAGTAGGAAGTTGCGCAAAGCCGTCTACGCGACTCGATCACAAACACTTAGTTGTTGTTCCTGTTAACCTTTTTGGTGAATGTTGTGACAAATTGACCGATTTGCTGTATTTCGATAAGCATTGTGATCAGTTTCCCAAAACACCCAAAAATGCGCAAATTTGTTGCAGACTACATAATCTCGTGCTCGGAATTCTATGTCAGTTTTTCTCCCCGAGAAACTATTCAACTGAGTAAACATCGCACAAGGAAGAGAAGTATGAGCTTGTAGATAATTCCCATATTGAGACTTTTATTTGACTTTACTTGACTTGACAATCCAGGTTTCGGACGATCCGGTTAGCCAAATGATCTATCACCGATTGGAAACCGAGTCGTATCCGATTCGTTCGACCCAAGAAGGTATTGATGCTGTTATCGCGGATCCAAGCTTGATATTCATTCACGACAAACTGCTTCTACGCTATGCGGTGTCCAATGAGTGTGAAAAAATCCAATTGCTTCCAATAACGTTTGCCGAAGCGGCTGCCGGTTTTGGAGTCGCCAAGGGACGGGATTTTGAGAAAGCTTTTAGTGATTAGTAAGTAAAATGTTATTACCCGCCTCGGCCCAAAACACAATCGTATTCACTCAGTTAATAGAACCACTTATCGGAAACATTATTTCTCTTTGATCCATTTGAATAAAACAAGTAACACAATATGAAGAGAATTGATATTGGTCATCAATTTCGCGTGCTCTGAATCAGCTGTCTACGCACATTAAATAGGTCGAATGTTATGAGAAGAATATCATATACGGACATGTCCATGGTTACATGGGTTCCGGCGGAAAAAAAACTGGGTTATTCGGTCATTACTAAAATTATTTGCGTATGGGTGAGCGAAGAGGAGGCGATAATGATTACAAAGATTCCTAAAAAGGGAATGTTGGCATAGAAACAGTTGCGTTATGGAGAACGATTAACCGTGGGGGA